TCTTTCCCTGTCTCTCTGCCTCTCTCTGGCAAGTGCACGCACCCTCTGGCAGTTAAAAGTGCACACCTAATTCCTTGTCCTGTGCAATGGTGGGAGACGTAGGAGGAACCAGTAACGGCTGTTCCCACACAAACGAGCGGGGTGGCTGGGGACGACGGGAAACTTCGATTTGCGGCCTATTGAATTTTGAAGTGTAAACATTTCCTAATTTAATACATTTTTAAAAAATAATTATTTTACTGTGACCAGCAGTTGGCACAATGGCTATGTCACTGGACTCCCATGTAGTCGACTGCAGTTCGAGTCCCAGACCTGGTGGCTTAAACTCACACCAGGCACATGTGCATGTGTGCCCAAGATCCTGAGAGGAGAATGGAGAAGGGATTGCAGTGTGGCCATCCTCGCTGGGGAGTGATTTCTTGCTTTCCATCTGTCTCTTTCTGTCTTTCTGGTGAGTGCATGTGCCTTATAGCCCCCCAAATTTTTTATTTTTTATTTAATTTTATTTATTATTCATTTATTTTAATTTGACCACACACACACACACATACGCACACACACTGAGAGAGAGAGAGAGCAAGCAAGCCACCAGGCCCAGGACTCGAACTGTGGTTAGCCATGTAGAAGTGTCCAGCACCTTAACCACCATACCACCTGCTGGTCCTAGTACATCTTTAAAAAATAGAAAATTAGGGACCAGCAACTGATGTAGTGGTTGCTGGACTCCCACATGGCTGATTGCGGTTTGAGTCCCAGACCTGGTGGCTTGAAAGTACAAGTTTATTTGGGGGCAAACAGTGTGAAATCCATGAACAGCTCTGTTAGGAGCGGCTAGGGCTAATGATCTCATTGAGGCTGCTGCACACAGGAGACTAACCTGGGGCATGAAGGAAATTTTATTTTTGATTTCTGCCATAGGGTGTGTGTGTCCTTGCCAGAGAGAGAGGGAGAGAGGAAAAGTGAGAAATCACCCCTTGGGGTGGGGGGGTGGCCACACCACAGTCTCTTCCCTCCCATTCTCCTCTCAGGCTTCTGGGCGTGCACACACAGGCCGGCATGGGGAGCACAAAGAAATTTCGGGAAGGGCCTATGGGACCATCCGTATTTGGACTCCAAACGACTCCCTGCAGCATGAGACCTGCAGGAAACAGGAATGAAGAACAAGCTGAGAGGAAACTGGAGCGTCTAAGACACCTACCTCAGACGGACCAAGGGTCTAAAGCAGGGTACTAGAGCAGCAGAAAAGGGCCCCGGGAAGGGGTGGGCTGCATGACCCCAGGCACGCCCGTTCCATCCGTGGAATGTCTCTCTCTCTCCCTCAATAAACCCGTGGTCAGCGTGGGACCAGCAGATGGTGTAATGGTTACGTCGCTGGACGCCCCCATGGCCAACTTCGGTTCCAGTCCCAGACCTGCAGGCTTGAAACTCATGCTCAGGGGACCAGCAGTTGGCGTAATGGCTGTGTTGCTGGACTCCCATGTAGTCCACTATGATTCGAGTCCCGGACCCAGAGGCTTAAACTCACGCCAGGTGCGTGTGTGCGTGCCCAAGATCCCGAGAGGAGAATGGTGGAGAAGGGATTGAGGTGTGGCTAACCCCCCAGGGCATGATTTCTTGCTTTCTCTCTGGTTTTCTGGCAAGTGGACTTGCCCTATAGCAAAAACCGCTCAAAAACAAAAACAAAAACAAACAAACAAAAACAAACAAAACCTCACTCTGGGTACACGTGCGTGTGTGCCCAAAATTCCAAGAGGAGAATGGAAGGGAAGGGATAGTGGCATGGCCATCCCCCCTGGGGGTTGACTGATTTCTCACTTTCTGTCTCTGTCTCTCCAGTGAGTGCATGCGCCCTATAACAAAAAAGCAAAAACACGGGAACCAGCAGTTAGCGTAATGGCTATGTCGCTGGACTCCCACGTAGTCGACTGTGGTTCATGTCCCGGACCCGGTGGCTTAAAACTCACGCCGGGCGTGTGTGCGTGCGTGCCCAGGATCCCGAGAGGAGAATGGAGGAG